TGTTGTTTAAAATGTTCTTTTTATCCTCTGCATTTCCTATAATCTGCATTTAGATTGACAGATCTGATTAGATTAAGTTTCGATTTTTTTTTTTTAAGTCCTTTTAAATATACTATATACCCTTTCATCCCTTTATTTAAATGTATATTTTTTTCTGGAACTATTTATAGGTTTTTCCAATAATCAAGTCATAACTTCAGAACTTTAGTTCCTCTATTGCTGATTGATCATCTTTTAAAAGCTACAATATTGTGAAAAGGTGAAATTGTCAGAAGATGATAAATCAGAAATGAAATGTAGAGACTGCAGGTTCTTTATACACATACCTGTTGACTTTCAGATTTATGACATGTAAATCCATCATAGGACATTTTTGCCTATCTCCCCCCTCCCACCACCTCACCCCTATTTTCAGTTAGGTGCCCAATGATGTCTATTACCTTCTCAACACCCCATCTCATTTGTTCCTTCCAGAATCTACTTAGTCTCTTCGCTCATCTGCTTCCAGGCTGCTCCATAGTCTACCTTATATATTGTTGGCATATTTATTATGTAAAAAGAGTAACCTCATCATGGTACTTAATTTTCAAATAATTTTAGAACTGTGGAATTTTAGGCCTCTAAATGGTTTATTCAGTTAGTGTAAAGAGATTGCTTTTGACTGTTGTAATTTTATTTAACTGTGTGATTTTTCAGGCTTGGCTGGTGTGGTAAAATACCGAGGTGTAAGGATTGGTGGAATCTCTGGTATCTTTAAATCTCATGACTATCGAAAAGGTATTGTTTTGAGAATTAGTTTTAAACTTTAGAACTTGCCTATGCCAGTGTAACTTATTCTTAATTTTTTATTATAAAATATTTCATACATAAACTCCTGCTAGTTCTTTCTTTCAGGAATTTAATTTTAAAGTATTTATTAAAGTCATGTTATGTTCTGTTCTCTATATTTGTAGAAGTACATTAATCTTTGTGTTGAAATTTAAGGATATTTAGTATTGAGCTGACCCAGAGGCACAAGGGTCTTTCTGAGGACTTCTGCCCATTATTTGAATAAGAATAATTACAGCTAGTAGTCAGCAAGTCTTTATTGAAGTGGATTTAGTCAACGTCAACTCATTAATATTAGTAATATTCTTAGTGCCAAACCATGGGGTGGGGAGGAAGGTTTAGATGCTGTGTCTCTCAGCATCTTCCTTTTAATACATAAGTATATACAGATGTTTTATATGATATTGTTACTGTGAGTTATTGTGTGCATCTGAAACTTCATGTGTAAAATATTGTACAAGTGGCCTAAATTCATGAGATTTCCATAAATGATTTTATGGAAATAAAGACTTCCTAAGTTAAAATATAGGAAGTCTTTATTTCAGTATGAAAATTTTAAATTGTCTTCATCATCAGGTATTATGTTTTTAGACTGAAAAGAACATTGGACTGTCATTCATTCAGCTTATTTATTAATTACTACTGGACATTAGTGGGCTCTAGTGATTCAAAGTTGAGGAATGCATAGGTGAATTTCAGGAGAAATAGCTTGTCTCTACAGAGTGCTTGCAATATAGTGGGAGGGGCACTAGACTTAGAGTGAGATCATCTAAACTCAGTCTAACACACCTACTTGTTGCCTAGGTGTCAAGTTATTGAATCATACTCAGATTCAATTTCCTGATGCATCAAATGAGGTTAATCATACCTACCACCAGCTGCTTACAAGAATTAAGTGAGGTGTAACACATGTGACAGCACTCAACATATTAAAGGCACCAAATGTTAAATTTGAACCTAAAAATTGATTGTGGTGTTTCTCATATATTAACCTTTATTTTCTCACAGCATTGTGAAAAGGAAAAGGTGTCTTCTTCAAAGGAACTCAAGCATATTCATGCAAAAAGTGAACCAAGTAAACCTGCCCGGAGACTTTCAGAGTCCTTACATTCAGTTGATGAAAACAAAAATGAATCCAAAATAGAAAGAGAACACAAAAGACGGACATCCACCCCTGTTGTGGTAGAAGGGGCACAGGAAGAGACTGACACAAGAGATGGAAAAAGGCAAGTAGAACGCTCAGAAATTGGCACTGACGAACCCCAGAAACAGAAAGGCGCACTTAAAAGTGAAAAGCATCTAAAGAAAGATGATTCTGAAGCACCACATTTGAAAAGCCTACCTAAGAAAGAGGTGAAATCCTCCAAGGAGAAGCCTGAAAAAGAGAAAACTCTGTCAGAAGAGAAATTGTCTGTGAAACATAAATACAAAGGTGACAGTATGCATAAAGTGGGTGACGACACTGAACTTCACTCTTCTGAGAAAGGTTTAAAAGTAGAGGAAAATATTCAAAAGCAAAGTCAACAAACAAAGTTTTCTTCAGATGACAAAGCTGAACGAAAAAGCAAACATAGAAATGAAAGGAAATTATCAGTTTTAGGCAAAGATGGAAAGCCAGTTTCTGAATATATTATAAAAACAGATGAGAATGTTCGCAAAGAAAACAACAAAAAAGAGAGACATTTGTCAACCGAAAAACCTAAGGCAGAGCACAAATCAAGAAGATCAAGTGATTCTAAAATTCAGAAAGATTCTCTAAGTTCTAAGCAACATGGTATCACACCACAGAGAAGAAGTGAAAGTTATTCAGAAGATAAATGTGATACAGACTCAACTAATTTAGATAGTAATTTAAAACCAGAAGAGGTTGTTCACAGGGAGAAACGAAGAACAAAGAGCTTGTTAGAAGAGAAACTTGTGTTAAAGTCTAAATCAAAAAGTCAAGGCAAACAGTTAAAAAGTATAGAAACAGAACTACAAGAAAGTATCACAAAACAGGCAACCACTCCAAAACAAGATAAGGAGAAGAACACAGAAGAAAATGACTCAGAAAAACAGCGAAAGTCTAAAGTTGAAGACAAACCTTTTGAAGAAACTGGTGTTGAAACTGTATTAGAGACTTCTGCTTCTTCAGCACATAGTACACAGAAAGATTCTGGTCATAGAACTAAGTTACCATTAGCAAAGGAGAAATCTAAGGGTGATAAAGATTCAAGCTCCAGGCTTGAGAGAAAGTTATCAGATGGACATAAAAGCAGAAGCTTGAAGCATAGTAGTAAAGATGTGAAAAAGAAGGAAGAAAACAAGTCAGATGACAAGGATGGTAAAGAAATTGATAGTAATCATGAAAAGGCCAGAGGAAATAGTTCAGTCGTGGAAAAGAAATTAAATAGAAGACTGTGTGAAAATCGACGAGGAAGCTTATCACAAGAGATGACCAAAGGAGAAGAAAAATTAGCAGCAAACACTTTGGGCACTCCCAGTGGCTCCTCCCTTCAAAGACCAAAAAAAAGTGGTGATACCACATTGATTCCTGAACAAGAGCCAATGGAAATTGATTCTGAGCCAGGTGTTGAAAATATATTTGAAGTTTCTAAAATTCAAGACAGCAACAGTAGTAGTTCTCAGCAAGATACTGACTCTGAAAATGTCATGAAACAAAAAACTACTGCCACAGTTCTAAAGGATGAATTACGAACTTACCCAATAGATTTGAAAACAATAGCTCCAGCCTGTAAATCAGGGCGTGGAACGGGAGTTGTTAGTAATTCTGAAAAGCACGCTGACCATAGAAGCACGCTGACCAAGAAAGTGCACATCCAAAGTGTTGTGTCTAAACTGAATCCCGGGGAAAAAGAACCTATTCAACAAGGAACTCATGAAATGAATGTAGGCTCTGAAACTGTTCATAGAATGTTACCTAATGCCCCATCAGAAAATGATAGGGGACAAAAGAATTTGAAAAGCACGACGAAACCCACTGAAGAACGTGTTGGTCAAGGAGATACTGCTTTTGAACATTCCACAGATATAGACCCCTCTCCGTCCTTAAGTTCAGTGACTGTTGTGTCTCAGAAAGAATCTCGTGATTCAGATGTAGCTCCTCTAGCTGATAAAAGAACTGTGTTAGAAGGTGGCACAGCCAGCACCTCCCCTGTGGATCACTGTGCTATCCCTAACCAAAGTTTGACTGTTAGGGAATTGGAAGTCCCAAGGACAAGTGACAACAAAGAAAGTAGTGAAGGTACCACAGTAGACACACCAGCAAAAGCCAGCATCACTAGCAAAAGACACATTCTAGAAGGTTACCAGGCCACTTTATTGGACGGTAAGCAAGGAAAAGTCATCATGCCCCTCGGGAGCAAGTTCACCGGCATGACTGTGGAAAATGAGAATGTTAACAAAGAAGGTGGCTTGGTGGACTTGGCCCTGAAAGAAAGTGACCTAAGTGCAGAGCCCAGTCTAAAGCAGACAACTAGAACAACAGTAGCAAATGGCAAGAAGGATGGCTTTGCTGTTGATCATGTGGTAGGCGTGAGTACAGGAAAAGATGCTGAAACTGTCGAACTTAAGCATGATCGAGGCCCAGGTGAAATAAAAGACCCATCAATTGATGTTGAAGGAAGGAATGAAAACAGTGAAGTAGACACCAGTGCTGGAGGTGGCTCTGCATCCTCTGTTTTGCACCAAAAGAATAGAAAAACTGAGGATGTAGCAGCTGGACCTGGTAGAACAGAAAAGACTTCTGTTGCCACTAGTACTGAAGGGAACAACAAAAGTGTTACTGTAAGCCCAGTGAAGGCTGGGGCTGCCACAACTACTTCAGAAACAAGAGAAAGTGAGGTGGCTTTGCCTTGCACCAGCATTGAGGCAGATGAAGGCTTCATAATAGGTGCAAACTCCAGAAACAATCCTTGTCATGCTGGCGCAGAAGCGAGTGAGTGCACTGTTTTTGCTGCAGCTGAGGAAGGTGGAGCTGTTGTCACAGAAGGATTTGCTGAAAGTGAAACTTTCCTCACAAGCACCAAGGAAGGAGAAAGTGGGGAGTGTGCTGTGGCTGAATCAGAGGAAAGAGCAGCAGACCTAGTGGCTTCTCATGCAGTTAAAATCGAAGCCAACGTGAATAGTGTTGTGACTGAGGAAAAGGATGACGCCGTAACCAGTGCAGGCTCTGAAGAAAAATGTGGTGGTTCTTCCTGTAGAGACTCAGAAATAGTCGAAGGAACTGTTACTTTTATTAGCGAAGTTGAAAGTGACGGAGCAGTTACAAGTGCTGGGACAGAAATAAGAGCGGGATCCCTAAGCAGCGAAGAGATCGATGGGTTCCAGGGAAATATGACGAGATTGGGCCCCAAGAAAGAAACAGAGGGCACTGTGACATGTACAGGTGCAGAAGGCAGGAGTGATAACTTTGTGATCTGCTCAGTAACCAGGGCAGGACCCCGAGAGGAACGCATGGTTACAGGTGCAGATGTGGCCCTGGTAGATAATGACACACCACCAGGAACAAGTGCCAGCCAGGAAGGAGACGGTTCTGTGAATGACGGTATAGAAGGTGAGAGTGCAGTCACCAGCACAGGGATAACAGAAGAAGATGGAGAGGGGCCAGCAAGTTGTACAGGTTCGGAAGATAGCAGTGAAGGCTTTGCTATAAGTTCTGAATCAGAGGAAAATGGAGAGAATGCCATGGACAGCACAGTAGCCAAAGAAGTCACTAATATACCATTAGTTGCTGCTGGTCCATGTGATGACGAAGGCATTGTGACCAGCACAGGCGCGAAAGAGGAGGACGAGGAAGGGGAGGGTATTGTGACTAGTACTGGAAGAGGAAATGAAATTGGGCATGCTTCAACTTGCACAGGGATGGGAGAAGAAGGTGAAGGGGTATTGATTTGTGAAAGTGCAGAAGGGGACAGTCAGATTGGGACTGCGGTGGAGCACGTGGAGGCTGAGGCTGGAGCGGCCATCATGAATGCAAATGAGAGTAATGTTGACAGCATGAGTGGTGCAGAGAAGGAAATCAAAGACACAGAGATCTGCTCTAGTGCTAAAGGGATTGTAGAAAGCAGTGTGACCAGCGCAGCTTCAGGAAAGGAAGAGGGGGCACCAGTTCCGGAAGGTTGTGAGGGTCCCATGACTAGTGCTGCTTCTGATCAAAGCGACAGTCAGCTCACCAGGAAAGAAAAAGTTGAAGATACCAACATTTCCACTGGCCTGGTGGGGGGCAGTTATGACGTTCTTGTGTCCGGTGCAGTCCCAGAATGTGAAGTGGCCCACACGTCACCAAGTGAAAAAGAAGACGAGGGCATCATTACCTCTGTAGAAAATGAAGAGTGTGATGGCCTTATGGCCACCACAGCCGATGGCGAGGTCACCAACCAAAATAGCCTAGCTGGGGGCACAGGTCAAGGCAAAGGCTTGATGATTTCCACCAGCACAACAAATGATGACGCCCCTCAGGTTAGCACAATGATAACCACAGGGGAAGGTCATTCAGGTGCTCTGAGAACTGAAGAAAACGTGGAAGGCACCAGAGTAAACATGGAAGAATTTGAGGCCCCCATGCCCAGTGCAGTCTCAGATGAGAGCCAGCTCACTCTTGGCAGAAATGAGGAGAAAGACGAATGTGCCATGATCTCCACAAGTATAGGGGAAGAGTTTGAAGTGCCCATTTCCAGTGCATCTGCCACCAAGTGCGCTGAAAGCCAGCAGCCAGTTGCAGCCATAGAAGAAAGAGCTAAAGGTCCGATCTCAGTAAGCACTGCCGACTTCGAGGCACCTATGCCCAGTGCACCCCCAGGAGCTGGGAGTCCTCTTGCCTCAACCAGCAAGGAGGAAAAGGATGAATGTGCTCTCATTTCTACCAGCATAGCAGAGGAGTGTGAGGCCTCTGTTTCTGGAGTAGTTGTTGAAAGTGGAAATGAGCAAGCCGGGACCGTCATGGAAGAAAAAGATGGGAGTGCTGTCATCTCCACGAGCTCAGTGGAAGACTGTGAGGGCCCAGTGTCTAGTGCTGCCCCTCAGGAGGGAGTCCATCCCTCAGTCACACCAGTGGAAGAGATGAGTGACACTGCCATGATTTCCACAAGCACCTCTGAAGGATGTGAAGCAGTCATGATTGGTGCTGTCCCCCAAGATGAAGATCGGCCCACCATTGCAAGAGTGGAAGACTTGAGTGACGCCGCCATCATCTCCACCAGCACGGCAGAATGTGTGCCAGTTGTTGCCAGCATCGACAGACACGAAGAGACTCAACTGACTGCAAACAACCCGGAAGAAAATGGTGACCTGTCAGCCGCAAAGGTGAACAAGTGTGAGGCACCCATGCCCAGCCTATTTGCCGAGAATAACTGTCAGTGCCCTAGGCCATTCATAGGAGGCAAAGAAGTGATGGCAGTGAGCACTGAGGAAGGGCACGACAGGCTGTCAGTCCAAGAGCCCTCTGCAGGACAAGGCCATCCAAGTGCTGTGTGTGCACAAGAGGAAGAGAGACACGGCAAGAAGTGCCCTGGCAAAGGGCCATTTACAGGAAGAGGACAGAAAGAGAGTGCTTTGCACCTCATAAATACAGAAGAGGAGGCTATGTTGTTGGGCTCTGTACAAAGAGAAGAGAAAAGCCCAGAGGCAGAGTTGACAGGGGCCAGCAGCACAGCAAGTTCAGCAGGAAAGAGCTTGGAGAGTAGTGCTGGCTCACCTGTCCCTCTGAGAGGACCAGGACAGATTACAGAGGATCCCTCTGTCAGTATTTGCTATTTGGCAGCAGTAAATACCGGTGCTAAAAAAGCTGGCAACATGCCACCTGTCAAAGACACTGCAGCTGAGCATTCCTCTGTTCCTCCTGACCAGCAGGGGCCTGAAGACAACCTGAAAACCACTACCACCAAATGTATTACTGGCCAAGAATCAAAAACTGTTCCTTCCCACACAACGATCCTTCCAGCTGCCCACCACGGAGCTCTGGCAGCTCCTAAACATGAGCAGGACTTGACTATAAAGAGTGATCATAGTGGCAGACGGACCGATCAAGCATCCACTGAGAAAACAGGAGACGGTAATGGCATGAGGAAGTCATTCCACGAGGAAGGAGACTTCTCAGCCACTGTTTCTTCTGAAGTAAATTTGTGTGACACAGGTGAGAATCTGTTCCTAATTGCAAATATTAGCGTTTTACAAAGATGATTACAGCAGAGTACATTTAGGACAATCTTCTAAAAGATGGTTTTGGTTCCAGAGTGATAAATATATAAATGTTTTTCTTGTATCATAATGTTGCAAAATGGCTCTTTATCAAACTTGAAGGTCAGCTTCTCTAAAAGATACCTGTGTTTAAAGGTTTAAAACCTTGGACCCCTTTTTCGTGTGTGAGAAGAGGCAGGAGGCTGAGGCATGTCAAATCAGCTAGCCACCTGTTACCTGTATGACTGTTGCAGGTCACTAACCCTCTTTGACCTTCAGGTTTCTTGTCAGTCAAAATGAAGAATACCACAACCCTGTGAAATGAGTATTTTTTCTCACCTTCATTTTACAAATGAAGAAATAGGGTCAGAGAATTTAACTAACTTGCATGGTCCTTGGGTGTATCTTATGGGGAAAAAAAACTTCAGATCCTCAGTTTCCTGTTCTATAAAATGAGGCTAATGGGGGATGATAGAATGAAAGCAAGTATCTTTCCAACCCTCATCTGATTTATTATAAGTTTATTATAAGTTTGCAGTATGTATCAGTGCAGTCCACTGGCTACTTCTAATCAAGGGAGTACATTATTATTCTTTGTAACTGAGTTTATTGTTCAGGTAAAACAAGTTTCTGGCTAGAATATGAAAGAGAAAGGAAACGTGTTTCCTACTGACAGATTTTAGAGAGTGCTGGTCTTTTAGAAATAAATGATAATTTTCAAAGATACAACCTCATTCATTATGCCATCCAACTTCAAATATTAATACTTTATACCAGGTACTAGGGATGCAAAGATAAATAGTCAAGATGGGAAGACAGCTGTGAATTCAGCCATGTGTTGTAAGTGGGCAGTGACACTTTGGTGTGACAAGTGCTTAGGATGGGGTTAAGCACAGGAGACTGTGAGAACTCAAAGGGAGCCCATCGGCTGGGCTTAAAGGGATCAGAGGATGTTGACTTCTTTTCCACTCTAGCTATATAAATCGTAGTGTCCTAGACTTTAAAATTGGAACAGGCCTTAGCCATCATCTACCCAAGCCTCAGGAAGCTGAGGCCAGTAATTTAGTCCCGTTCATTATAAGGGCTTAGATAGGAGACGTTAGGAAATGTCCCAAGGGTTGAAATAAGTAACTTTAAAAATTTTCCATTGAATTTAGCCTGGAGTAAATTGAATGCTCCAGAAGTTTTTATGACTCAATCGTTGCTACAGTCTATTACTCCTCCCTCCTCCTTTTCCCCTGGAGAAGCAAAAATAGAAGGGCTTTTAGCAAGGAAAAGCCTGCAGACTCTTGGAGAAAGGAAAGCTTTTCTTTGGAGGCTTATGTGTGGGCAAGTGAGGGAAACTGGAGAAGCCACAAGCCGCAGAAGGATAGGGACAAGAAAGAAAGGCAAGACCCAAGTAGAATTGAGTCTTCATCTGAGAAAATTCCATTTTCTTTCTGTCTACCTCACAGTTTTTTAACTTTACGTTCAATTTTGTTGTCAGTGTAAAGCAAGTAAAATGAATCTATGCATAAATCACACTCTTTATTGAGGATATACCTCAGTGACCTAGAATATTTTCTTTTAAGGACAAACTTGATGAAGATCACTGCAGAAAAATATTTGTAAATAAGATATCTCCACAAATAATGCTTTATTGTTTTTTGTGGGCAGCCATCTTACTGCGCAAGCAAGAAACAATCTCAGTCCCCCAAAATGAGTAGATGATCCCTGCCTTTCATCTAGATCCTTTTCATACAGCATACTCCTTTTGATTGTTTTCTACTGACAGCAAAATAAACCAGCAAAGGAAGGTGGCATGGTGTGCCAAATAACCACATTCCATTACTTTTTGATCCCGCATATACTGTGCAAGCAAATCCTTAAAATGTATTAATGGGTTGAATTTCATTAGGCAATGAAGAGTCTCCATCGAATGCTTTGGGAGGATTGGAACAGAAAACCAACTTGAAAACTGAGGTATGGCTTATAATTCAGCTACATTGAACTGTAAGTGGTTAAATACCATTTCACCATTATATATACCTGCATGTACTTAATCTGGATATAGCTCCTCTTGTCATTGTACTTACTACACTTAGTGTTGTTATTGTCATACCCTGTGCTGGAGGTGGAGTGGTAGCTGAGAACCTCAATAATCCTAGTAAATAGTGCCTTCATCGGTTCCATTGTCTGCCTGTCACCTTACATTTAATCCATTGCCGGTTCTTGCAGGTTTTATTTCCAAAATATAACAGAAATCCATCTATTTTGGCTTCTACAGCCACCAGCCTGGTCTGAGCCACTGCTTCAGTAGCATCCCCATTAGAGTTCTTTTGCTCCAGCCCTCTGGGCTGTGATTCACACAGCCATGCAGGTAGTCTCTGAAAACATAAATTAGGTCCTGCCGTTGGTCTGCTGAAAATTTCCAGCGGCTTCCTGTCACATTTAGAATAAAATCTACTTTTTTTTTTAATCATGCCCTTTGTGCCTTGCATGATTTAGTCTCTGTGCCCCCTTTCCAGCCTCATTTCACAGCACCCTCTGAGTACAAATGACAAGACAGCAATGAACTTGAGCTTATGAACACTGCAGAAGCACAACTTGCCCAACAGGAGCAATGAGCAGGCAGACGGGAGGGCTTGCAAGGAGAACACTGGAATGGTATTTTGAAAGTTGTGTGGAAGTTTACTAGAAAAGGAAAGAAAAAAGAGTCTTCCATGCAAAGGGAGTGGTGTGTTCTAGACCCAGAGAGGAGAGGGCTCATGGTGTGCCTCAGGCACTACAGTGGGTCACAGCGAGCTGTGGTGACACCTAAGCCTGGCAAAGGAATGGGTCCCCATCAGGAAGCGCCATGTGCATTGTGCCAAGTTGGAGTTTTACTTTAAAAGCAGTAAGAGAGCCATTGATGGATAAAATACTAAATTAAATTGATTTTTTTTCTTGTGTTTTATTTTGTTTTTAAAGGCTGATGTGTTCATTTTTAAATTTTGTATAGACTTAAAAGTAGACATTTATGTTGTTTTAAGATGCTGGGGTTTTTCATTTAGTTCACTTGAGGTTAGTCTTTCCTTCTTGTTGTAAAAACCTCAGTTCCCTTATTTTTATGGTGCTTTGAATTTTTTAGACAAACGTGCCTTCAGAGAAAGAGAAAAATCATGAAATTCTAGCACCACCAGAAAGCCCAAGTGAGGAAGAGCCAAGTGGAATAGGTAAGCTCCTTGCAGCAGTTGTTCACATTGTTTTTTCCTTACATGTGTTTCTACCTTTCATTGCAGCGTAAAATAAATAGCTGATTCGTAATGAAACACTGACAGGCTATATGAATTTGCCTCTCACTTTTTAAAATAGATTAGAGATAATTCTTTACTATTTTATTTTTAACATATACTTTTTCTCATTAAATTCAATCAGCTTTATGTAAGGTAATTGCTTAAATTTGGTATCTCCAAATAATAGTGACAAAAAGAAAGTTGTTTGAGAGCAAACACTTGCTCTATCCTAAAAATGTTTCTCTCTGCCTCTTCCTATCCTACCAGATGCTACTGCAGCTCGTTTCCAAAAGGCTGGTCTGAAACGTGTGCCCACTTTAAACCATTCACTCTTGGCCTTTGGTCCAGTGACTATGCTGAAACTGCTCTCAGCTTGCATAGCCTCTTCTCAGTCTCTCTGTGCAGCATTCTTCATTGTCACCCACAGATTTTTGGGGAGAGCCTCAATAGCAGAAAGGATAAAGGCTGCAGTTCTCAAACATTTTGGTCCTGGGGACCACTTTACAGTCTGAATTATTGAGGACCCAAAGAGCTATTGTTACGGGTTTATACCTGTTATACCAAATGAGAAATTAAAACTGAGAGAGTTATAAAACAAATATTAATTCAATATCATTAACTCACTACAAGTTAACATAAATAACTTTTTTTATGAAAAATAGCTAGATTTTTCAAAACAACAAAATTTAGTGAGAAGTGACGTTGTTTTACAGTTTTGCAATTCTTTTTAAGCCTGGCTTAATAGAAAACAGATGATTTCTCATTTCTGTTTCCACATTCAGTCTATTGCTGTTTGTTGTTTTGGTTGAAGTGTATGAAGAAAATCCAACATTATAGATACATGGCTGGCTTTTAATAGCCTTTTCAGATAGTGGTGGATACATCATATGGCCTTTAAAAAATACTCCCTTGTGCAATCATGAGTCTGCAAGGCAAATAACATCTTAGTAAGTACTAGGAACTGTAGAGTATGTGACCAAATTTAAGCCAGTTCTCCTTTTTTTTTAAACAATGTTGAAATGTTCATGCAAGTCATGATTCAGCATGATTTTGGCTGCAAATACTTATAACAAAAAATCCTACAAATGTTTACTTAAAGGGACTTTATTAGCTCACAAAACTAAAAACTTCAGGCAAAACATAATCCAAGAGCATGCTGATATCCCCAAAGACATATCCAGTAGAAGCCCAACTTCTTATCTTCTCCCTCATCCCCCCACAAAGGTCTTTGCTGTCTCCTTCTTGGCCTCCAAGGAAATAGCTTTATCCTATCATTCCTGGCCAAAATCCTGAGATATTCTCATTTAGCTTAGGTATGTGTGTCCATAGCTTAGGTACTGTGTGTCCACAGTAAACTAATTACTGTGACCAGAGGAATATATTAAATAGCTTGCTAGTTGACTTAAATTAAGTCAAGTGTTTCGTTCCTGGAACCACATGGTGTTTTAGACCACAGTCTGGGCTCTTGGGAAGGGTGCCAGGAGGCTAGCTGTAATGTCTACTGTAGTCAGCTCACTCTTTAAATTGTTCCCCTGACAAACATCATTAAGCCAGGTACTTGTGAGTACTAGGGAAATAAAGATGAAAATGACTCATGGAAAGAAATCATTCATTCAAAGAGATGGATATACAAATGGGTAAGGTGCTTTAATAAAGACAGATACGTTCATGTCTATGGGAGTCAGCTTTCCTGGGTAGGGCCTTGGGGAAGACTTGTATTGGCTGAACTAATCTCTTTCTCTCTGGCTGAACCAATCTCTATCTCTATCTCCCTCTTTTATTTTTAGAAAATAAGATATATAAAAGTACATAATAAAGTTTCCCACTCCTCATGAGTAACCACCTTCAATACAATTATGTATTTTAAACACATTGACTGCCACGCTAGAAAAAAAAATTTTTCCTTAGGGCCACGGTATTTTATTACAAAAATAGAATAAAAGCTTAGAAAACAAAATGATGCTTTCTAATTTAATGAAAAATTTGTTATTTTTTATTGTATTCTGTGTGTGAGTTATATGCAACTTGAAAAATAATTCACGCAGCTCCCAGGGTGAAGTGATGTGTATGTTTCATACACTTCACGAGGACTCGGGCTCAAAACTAGCGTGACTTAAATGCAACTCACATGGCAGTTAATGTGTTAAATAAAAATAAAATCATATTTATATTCTATAATTTTTTTCCCCTTGGCCATATATTGTGGGCATCCTTCATTGCTATATCAACATATGCAAACCCACTTCCCTTGTTTTAATAGCTAAATAGTTAGTAGTCTGTAACACCAATTTTGTTATTTTTTTTTTTGAGACACAGTCTCACTGTGTTGCCTGGGCTAGAGTGCCGTGGCGTCATCCTAGCTCACAGCAACCTCAAACTCCTGGGCTCAAGTGATCCTCCTGCCTCAGCCTCCCAAGTAGCTGGGACTACAGGCATGCGCCACCATGCCCGGCTAATTTTTTCTACATATTTTTAGTTGTCCAATTAATTTCTTTCTAATTTTAGTAGAGACGGGGTCTCGCTCTTGCTCAGGCTGGTCTTGAACTCCTGAGCTCGAACAATCCGCCCACCTTGGCCTCCCAGAGAGCTAGGATTACAGGCGTGAGCCACCGCGCCCGGCCCGTAACACCAATTTTAGATCTTTTGGTGGTTGCCATTTTTTACTATTATAAATAGAGCTGCAGTGAACTTCTGCATGCACATCACTAAATGTTTCCCAAGGTATTTCCATAAAAGGGAATTGAGGGGGTCAAAGAATATACAGGTTGAATAACCCTTATCCAAAATGCTTGGGACCAGAAATGTTTTGAATTTTGGATTATTTTTAGATTTTGGAATATTTGCATTATACCTTATTGAGGATCCCAAATCCAAAAATTCAAGATCCAGACTATTCCAGTGAGCATTTCCTTTGTGTCATATCAGCATTCAAAAATTTTTGAATTTTGGATTTTGGGATTTGGGATACTCAACCTGTATAAATTTTGAATTTTCATAAGTATTTGTCACTGCCTTTATTTGGGGCTGAATATCGAAGGATAAATAGGTGTGCATTAGATGGACAAGGCTAAAAGAAGGATAGTGGAGCTGGAGTTGTTCAAATTCAGGGAAGAACGTGTATAAATCCTTACCCATAATTTTAAAAGCTGGAGGTTTGAGAGGTGGGGCAGTTGAGAATCTTCTTAGACAAAATCCTCTGAAAGAGGGCCTCAAGAGTCTTGTAAGTAAAATATCAGCCAGTCCTGGGAGACCACACCAAGACTTGCTAAGTCATTCTTGCTGACATGTTAAAACCCTGAAGATAACTAATCTATGCTAAACTTGGACAGATACATTGGTTAATATGTGTATGAGTGTTTCGTAGTACAAGTAATTAACATCTCATTTGTTAATTGCCAAGAAGATAACATGCTGGAATTGTGAAGTGTTTTGTTCTCACAGTTATATTTCAGATTGTTTTACTGTGTTTAGGTCCAGTTGAATAAGAGATCTACTTACGTAAAAGGAAGTTGTTTAAAAGAAAAATGTGTGTTCTGTCATTGTTGAGGAGAAACAGTAGACCTTGTACTTCAAGTTTCCAAAGAAAATAAACAGACCCTTGCTGTCTGAGGGGATAGGCTCTAGCTTTTCATTTGATGGCATTATTTTAAATGAGCCAGTGTTATGCTGCAGCTTAACAGTTACATTAAGGTCTTCCACCTTTTTTCAGATCACCAATATAGTTAAATCACTGTAGTGATTTAATATACCACTGCTGTTACTGTAAAAATGTGGGCAACATTAATTTCTATTGTTTTTCTGGTAATACAACATGGATAACAGAAAATAATTGGTCAGAATTTTATAATTCACAAAGTTAGCTAGGCCACTTAGCCTAGGATAGTCCTATTTAACTAACCCGAAAAAATCTTTAAATTTGTTTCTCTGTAATTCAGAAACAATCTTTAGTCTATGTTTCATTTTTGTTTTTGAACAGCTGAGCTACAAAAGGAGCCTTTGTTGGTGAATGAATCACTAAATGTAAGTCACTGTAAGGTTTTGATTTTGTTGTTGTTGGGTTTTTTGTTTTATTTTGACTTTTGGAGAACAATTGGGGAGGAAACATCTAGTAGAAGGGTTTTCTGTACCTTTCTTTAAGAGCCAGGGGGCACTTAGCATGCTCTCCACTGAGTTCAGCATACTGACAGCAGCTTTTGCTTGCTCTTTTCCATGTTCATCTATATCCATTGACGAAGAAATCTGAACTCTATTTTTTATTACTCTAATCATTGTGGTGCTGTAAACAAACTAGATTTTAGTTTGAGAATTAAAGTTCACTTTATGTTTTTAGAAAGCTTTTCTGAAGATACTAAGCTGTAATTGCCATGTATATGTATTTTTTCCCAGATGTGGCTCTCATAATCCCTTTTGTGCTTGAAAGAGTTTTTTGTCTTAATGTATTTATAGGATACTTAATATCAACCAGGAGTGAACATTTTGTAAATTGCTGACAAATTTTCGGACAGCTGCATTCTTTCCAGTGCCCTTAGAGGAATTGGTATGCTGTCAGACACCTGTGGGATTAGAGTGCTTTACCTCACCAAAAACACGTCTTTTTTATAGCTAGAAACTCATACACAGTCTGCTGAATAAGAAAGAAGAGAAAAGCCCCTTTGGTGTGATTCCAGTTTGCCCTCCAAGAATTAAAAAGATCGTAACTGGGTGTGGGGGCACGGCCTGGAGTCCCACCTACTCGGGAGGCTGAAGCAAGAGGACTGACTGCTTGAGCCCAGGAGTTTGAGGCTAGTCCAGGCAGCGTGTCGAGACCTCTATCTCTAAAAGACAAAGAAATTTTAAATAAAACAAATCAAAAAAGAGTTAAAAAAATTCTAAATGGAGCTGAAGCCACAGAACCAGCTGGTGTGTGCTCCATCCTAACTCCTGTCTCATTCCCCAAGTCCCCAGCAGCTGCCTTTTCCCCAACTGAGCATAAACGTCCTTTCCAAATGTGCACAGAAGTTGTAGCTAGGACTTAGAATATTGTGGGGTATACTCTCCCGTCAGTTTAAAAAAAAAAAAAAAAAAAAACTAGAATTGACAAGACTTGCCAAACAGGAACTCTATGACAGAATCCTGTAGAATTTTTAAATAAAGAAGAAAGAAAATCATGCAGGATCTTTAGATGGGAAGAGAAATTCACAGAATTCAGAAAATTTATATTTCTCTTATTTCTTACTCTTTCTCCATAACTGTCTTAAAGACAAGGAGAATAAATACAGTTTAACAATCATCTGTGAAATTGAAACTTTTTCAAAAAGAAGCTGCTCTATGCTCTTGAGCTTTTGGGTGTAATTAAAAAGAACATGTACTCTGGTTCCCTTTGGCATTTGTACAAACAACCAGGTTATGTAAATTATCTTCTTTTTTTTCTTTTTTCTTTAAGCTTTTTGTAAGACTATGCATAAATAACCGTTTATATTGTATATTTAGGTTGAAAATTCAGGCTCTGAAACAAATGAAGAAATTCATAGCAAATCTTCTAACACAAGAGGTAAGTTAATGAATTTTATAGTAGTAATTTTAATATTAATTATAATTGCCATCTGTTGAGTGCCTTCTATGTGCCAGGCCCTGTGCCAATTACTTTACAAATTTTCTCTCATTTAATTCATTTAATCCAGTAAAGTGAATGTTAACAGCATCACATCTGTGGTGGAAAGTGAGACTTCAAGAGGTTGGGTGAATCTGGGCCATACAGCTTATAAGTGGTCCCATCCCTTAAATAGCTACTAGAATTGTGCCATTAACCTCACAGTGGACTCAGTCCAACATGAGTACAAAATACATAGTCCCCTGTGGTTTTTATACTCGTCTGTAACTTGTGTTAACTTCTGACAGGCAGTGTCAGGATGGTAGCAGATCAGGAATATCTCATTATTTGAGTCTTACCCCAGGGGTCAGTTCTGGTGACCATGCAACCTGTGCGGGCTGCCAACTCCAGAAGGATAATTCTCCTCTCAAACAGAAGGGAGAATTTTGTTGCTACCTACTAATTCTTTTGATTCCCTATTCCAAGAATGAAGAAAGATGTTCTGTTCCTGTATGTAGTTATTTTTATAACATTACACCATATTTCAAACAGAAACAAAGCAATGATAATTATAAACACCCATGTACCCATCACCTAGTTTTGTCATATCTTAAAAGTTTAGTATATTTGCTTCATGTGTTTTTTTAAAAAAGTTACAGATACAGTTGAAACCCCATTTACCCCTACCCAATCCCAGTCTTTTTCCCTTTTATCCCACTACAAAAGGAATCGCTGTTCTGCTTGATATATATAGTTCCATAAACAGTATGTAACATATTGCCTGCTTTAGGTAAGTGGTCTCACATTATATAGACCATCTCCACCTTATTTGCTCAGTCAGTAATATATTCTGAGATTTGGTCCTATTGATTGGTGTAACTCTATTTATAACTCTGTTTTAATTTCTATTCCATTATGTGACTGTACCACAGTTGTTATTTTTTGTTTCTTTTATTGGTGCATATTTAGGTTTTCTGCAATTTTTCCCAATTACAAAAAGTACTACTATGTATGCTCTTGTAGCTGTTTCCCAGTGCATATGTAGTGTATCTGTATGTCTAGGTGTGGAATTGCTCAGTGATAAGCAGTTCTTTAACTTTACTGAGTGTGCCATATTGACCCCAAGTAGTATACCAGTTGTCACTCCATACCACCTCTAGTATTTGGTATTGTTACACTGGTGAATGTTTGCTAATGTGATTACTATGAAAATTGTTGTCATTGACACTTCTTAATACAATATTGCTACATGAACTGAGGGGAAAGGGCCTTGAAGTCTGCTGTGTGAAGTCCAGTGGTGTGACCCTAGCCATGTTACTTCCCTCCTTGAACCCCATTTATTCACATCTAAAAACGGAAAAAGTAGAACTTAACTGACAGTGTTGTTGGAAGAATCCCATCATAAATCATTTGCAAACTACCTACTGCAGTGCTTCATACATAACTGGTACTCAATAAAATTACTAATCCAGTTTTCTTCCCCCCTCCACACACACCTAAAATAAGCTTTGGAATAGAAAAATATTTAAGATTTTTTTCCTTTTTGTATTTACTACTCAGAGGTATCCAGTGGTCAAAAAGACGATGTGGAAGCTATAAGAGGTCACAATATTGAAGCAAATCCTAAACAGGTGCGTTTTTATGAAGAACTCAAACATTTCATGTTTTATATATAATATTTTCACCTGTACAAAGAAAGGCTTTAGAAAGGCTTTACTTCTCTGTATATATTATATTAAATAATTAAATGGATATACTAAGAATTCTGCATGTCATTTTTACCTGTTTATGCTCTTGTAATGTTTAGGTAATTCGGCAGGTCCCAGGATTATTTGGAAGTTTCTGTTGTACAGTCAGAATTTTTTTTATGTATTACTTTTGATCAACCGTAAGAAGCCCATCTTTAATGGGCCACTAAAAGAGTAGAAAAACACTACCAATTAAATTACAACATGCCATTGGTTATAAGATATAACTTGACTTCAAGGATTATAAAATGAGAAATAGTTGTTTAAAAACATGTGTTTTTAAATTGTTAAAATACAGTATGTAACCAGAAACAGATTTGAATGTTTTGTATGAATTTACATTCAAATCCAAAAAAAAAGACTCAAGCTTACAAAATTAGCCTAATCTAAACCTAGATGCCAAAGTGTTATTCTAGATTTCTGTAAAATTTATATATCAATTTTTTCCAAAGGCTAGAAGCTAATGTAGTGTGCCCGCATTTCAGTTGGTTTGGGTTCAGATTCTATTTCCTTTAATGTAGTCATTTTTAATTCCAGGTCGAGGAGGAAGAAAGGCATATGCCTAAACGAAAAAGAAAGCAGCATTATCCTTCTTCAGAAGATGAACTGGGTATTTAGAATATATATGTTTCTGTTTTAGACATATTTGAAAATCATATTTTTTATGTCCCAAAGTGTGGGCCAATAACATGGAGAATTCTTGAGGGTAGTAACTATTTACTTCACAACTCTTGAGGCTATTTGGTTTCTAAACTGGCATGACACCTCCAGGGTCTTTTCTGGACCTCGATCTAGAAACTAGATTGTTTCCTGTGGAAGACCCAACCCCTGGAACTCACACAAACCCTGGCTCCTTCTGTAACATGGGCCTGGGGCCCAGCCAGGTGCCCCACTGAATTCTGTATTTTATTTCATATGCAAATGCCCAGCAGAGCTAGTGAAGCACTTTAGTCAAGGTGCATCTAATACCCCTTCTGTGCTCCATGCTGTTGATTTTCTCATGGTCATAACAGTGCCATCCCGTAGAATGTTCTGTAGTGATGAGAATGTTCTATATCTATTTTGTCTAGTAGAGTAGCTACCAGCCAGCTGTGGCTGTTGAGCACTTGACTGTATGGTCAGTATGAATGAAAGACTGAATTTTTAATTGTATTTCATTTTAATTATTTTAAGTTTCAATAGGCACATGGGGCTAGTGACTACCATATTAGACATTGCAGGAACCTTTAATACCTGACACAAAGTAGAAATTCAATAAATACTTAATGAATGAATATATGAGAAAGAATGGAGAATTAAATACTTTCCTTCTTTGGTTAGAAACGTGATGATTTTATAATAATTATTGAGTTCATACTGTATTCAGACACTATCCATGGTACATTATATGTACATTCCCTTTTAATCTTCACAATAACCCTCTGAGTTAGGTATTGTCACCATTTTATACATAAAAAAAATTAAGGTTCTGAGAAATTATGGCTTTACCTTACTTACCAAGTAAATCTGATTCCAAAGCCCATCACCAAGTTGTGCCCCTTAGTTGGTAACTTATTCAGGAAGTTGAAGTTGAAGTACATGGGGGAACTCTGAATGCACTAAGACTTCTCCATAGAACCTGCTACTTTATTGATAACCATGTGAGCATCTGAGGATCTTTTATTCTGTTTTATATTTTTGACTTTGCCAGGGCCAAAAGCTAGTGTTCAGTGCTTAAATCACATGACATTATAAATACATTTAGAAAAACTTTTGGCTTCACTGTATCGCAGGCCTCAGAAAGAAGGCTCAAACTGTCTTAAAATAGAACTATGCATTTCATTTTTCATTTAGCTTTTATTTTTTTGTGATTCTGTCCAAACTGATTTACAGATGATAATCCAGATGTCCTGGATTCCAGAATAGAAACAGCACAGAGGCAGTGTTCTGAAACTGAGCCACATGACACAAAGGTATTTTTTCCACGTATTAATTTTAAGTTTTGAGGGTAAACCTAATTGTATCATTGTGAATACTTATTTGTTTTCCATTTTAGTATCTCTGTTGGTATATTCTAATAATAATCACTTTATTATAAAAGGTGTATATTTTCTAGTCTCCCTCCCATAAAATCAAATGTTATACTTTATAATTCTTAAACTGCAAGACTGTATTAATATCACAGTTTAAATATAATCATTGCTTAGGTTTTTGTTCAGTAGTATTATTGAGTTCTTAAGGTTTCTAGATGCTGTCTTCCAAAGTGTAACGTGCTTTATCCTAGATATACTTGCACCAAAATATTGAAATACAGTGATAATATTACTTTAAAATTTTAATAGTCTACCTTCTCTCTAGCTTTCCTCCTACCCCTCAAATATAGGTAGTCCAAGGATTTGCCTCCCTCCTCGGCTTTTTTCCTGTGGTCTTATTTTTGTCATATGACTGAGGGAAGCAGCTCACAAATTTTTCTTTCTGCCCTGTGCTCTCTTTTGTTGCAGGCCCAGATTTCCCCATTTCCTACTAACTAGATAACCTATTCTTGAGTGTTCTTCCATTTCTGAGACTCAATACTATAAAACTTCTCATTGTCTATCAGACTAATGCTATCTCCTCCTTCTTTCTCTTTCTCTTATTAATTTTTTTCTACCTTGTTCCAAAAGTATTTAAGTCAGCTTACAAAAATATTTGAACTGACTTCCAGCTCACTGAAACCAGTTGAGTCTCTTTTCCCACAATAACCAATGAGCTAAATAAAAAGTGGGGAAAGACTTAACAACCAAAGAGGGAAAGTGGCATATCATCAGGAATTTCAATTGGTTGTGGCCAAGGAAAGAAACAAGCTTTTAACCCATCCCTTACTCTGCCCTGTCCAGAACAAAAAATTTTATTTTCATTAAGAAATTTTATACACAAATAATATTTTCAGTATTATAAAAGAATCTTTTCTTGCATGGAAACCTGTCTGCAATAGCATTTATTTAATATCACATTTTATGTTAATGGTAATTTTTGGACAGTAGGTAAGGAGTGAGTTTATCACTTCTACTGTAGTTTTCTGTATAATAAGCATGTATCACTTTTTAAAAGCAATAAAGGGATTATTCTAAAATGTGTATGGCAAGACTGAAAGACCAAAATTGAGTAGTGGTAAAATCCAGGCACTGGAAAAATAAAAGCAGGGCGTAAAAAGCGAGCTGTATGTATATCATCAGGATCTGATTAAGTGCATATGGGACTAAAGTTGGCTCTGAAAGAATCAGCTCAAAAACATAAATGCAGTTCATCCAGTGGTTTGAAAACGTTTGGGCAGTGCGTCTTTCAGTCTACCAAGTGAAATAGATAAAAGTGTAGATGTTTTGGCTGAAACAAGGGAGGGGGACCCCAAAACTCCTGCCTGCTTTCAAACCTGCTCCACCCCTCAAAACACACATACACATCCCCTCCTACATTTAGCACTTGAAGAGGTTCTGAGCTGAAAAATCACAGCCCAGCATGAGCCTCAGTGTCAAGGTCAGAACAAATGCTCTTTGGCACTGCCAAATGGATCGACCTTACAACCTCTAAAGCGGTAACCTCCCAAATTGGGCATAGGACGAGCCATTGAGGTGTGAGAAGAAGTCGTAGAACCACTGTTTATATCTGCCTTTTATCTAAAAATTTAAAAAATTAAGCTCTACTAATGGTTAGTATGTAGATTGGCCCTGGTGCTCTCACTGAAAGTGAGCTCACCTCTGACATCACGTCTCCTAATTGCATATCTCAGTCCTGGTCACATAGTCCTGGTCACATATTTTCGGGGTACCTTAAGTAAAGCTGGGAGTCCCACAGCACAGAAGACTTGAAAACGACCCCCTCACTCATTTGTTCACTTCCAGGTTTTTATGATATAATAGTTTACAGACGCTTAATTAAATGATTTTGCAGAGTCTCTTAACTTAGTTTTAATTGACCCTTCGAAAACAGATACTGGCTTAAGATTCTTGCAAAAAAAAAAATCGTAAGACAAAGGTAATATTTATAATGTAGGTGCAAACAAATATTAATAATGAGAGAAATGACTGAGCTGACTAGGAAGTTACAGAAGCTCTTTGTCATCCTCTATACTTAGTAAAAAGAAGGAAGATCTAACCATATCTGAATGAAGTAGCTGAAAAACTTCAAATTTTAAGACTGTGTGAAATGTTGATATGTGGATATATTTGCTTTTATGTCCACCCCCCTTCAAATCCCTGAAAGGCTACAGCAGAAACCCAGTGACATTGAATACCTGTGAGAAGGGGAGTGGGGGGTGGGGACATTTCATTTTAGACCATTTTGAACTAGGAGAATATATATCTATTCAAAAATAAATTAAAAATAATAGAAATGAGGATTATAATTTTTTATAATGGGCCACCAAAGAAATAAGTAAAATTTAAAAATAAGAGGATTTATAATTATAATAGGCCATTAAAAAGTAAAATTAAAACTTTATTTTGTCTTGTTCTCATCCTACTTTATGTGGTTTTTTATATACTATATTAGTATTTCATGCTCAAAAGTTTTGTGACTAAGGGTGAATAATTTAATAGTTGAGAGATTCACTGTTCCACATCAGCCCATCTGGATACCCAGAAATTCTGTCACGATTTACCCCTTCTCCCCAATTCCTCCCCTTCACGACTCCACAAAGAAAAACATCTGTTTTCAGTATCTGTCAGTTCTTCTTTGGAATTTCTCTCAAAAAGACAAAATCTAGGCTGAGGGAAAAGAAGAATAATTTCCATTTTGCAGGAAAATAAAATGGCCATGCTATTTTTATAGTTGAACCGTACGTGATTTTCTACCTTGAGAATTTTTTTTTTTTTTAATAATCTCACTAGCAGCAATAATAGTTACTTTTTAAGAGACATTTCCCAACAAATTATTCTATAATAAAAGATAGCTAGGAAATTGTTTTTGAAATAGAAAGGAAAGCTTTGGGGAGGGTAAATGGAGGCAGGGTTGAGTTTGAAAAGGAAGCTTCTTGTCTTGTTCAACTTCTCTGTAGGAAGAGAACTCTGGAGATTTAGAAGAATTATCTAAAACAAGTTCAAAGACAAACAGCGCCGTTTCAAGGGCCATGGAAGAAAAAGGTGAGTAAAACATCTACTGAGCCTTCAAAGCAGTCGGCATCATTCACCGTGCTTCACCAGCTGAAACTTATGTATTGCTCCTGCTGTGTAAAATAGTACCTCATGCTTAAGATGAATAGGGCTTGGGAATCATTTTTAATTTGGATCCTACTCTACCCAAAGTGTACTGCTTTTCAGTTAACCAAACTCAGGCTTATTTATTTTGATGGTGGAAGAATGAAAATAGAGTATGTGTCCATGTGTGGCTGTGACTGTGCAGGTCACCTGGGTACCGTGTCTTCGCGGTGAGGGCTGACCATGGTCACCAGCAGTGAACTGAGCTCTGCCTTTTCTGCAGATGAATACAGCAGCAGCGAAGCTACTGGCGAAAAGGCAGAGCAGAATGACGATGACAATATAAAATGTCAAGAGGTGAGAAATGTTTTTCATATTTATTTGTTCAGAATTATTTAAGTACTAAAACCAAATTAAATGTGTTAAATACTGTTACTTAAAGTTTTTCTTAAGTATTTTTGAAAGAGTTTTTGGTTTTTTGGGTTTTTTTTTAGTGCACTGGGACACCATTTCATACAGTGCATTTTATCAGTGTCATTATGATTAATTTTGTTCTTTTTATCTTTGTTTCATAAAATCATTTGTATGGGACCTACTTATGTCACGGCCAGGTAGGATCAGCCCAACACTCTACATCAGTAGCGATGTCGGGTTCCTGGCCTTGCAGCTCAGCACTACCAGGCCAGGCACCAAGACAGATCAGCAAACAGGAGGCTGCCTGAGCCGTGGAGTCCAGCCAGGATGAAATGGGAGCAGCAAGCAGGTGTGCAGGAAGCGTGCAGGAGTACCTGAGGGGACCCAGTTTCGTAAGACAAGGTCATAGATTCCTGTGATACTGCAGGAGCAGATAGACCATCTCAGCTCTGCCCACTCTAGGCCCATTTGGATTTGCAGAGAGCCCCAAACTGAGTCCTATAAACCAAGCGTTTACATTATGCACTAGTCAGAACTTCTAGATAACCATTGCCAAGTTTGCCGATATTTTGTTTGTTTGTTTGTCATACTTCTGTATGATAAATTCAATGAACTCCTTTATTATTTATAAGGGATAACATTTGGTTGCAAGTAACTTGGACTAAATCCCAATTTAAGTTTACATACATATTTATTAAAGGAGTTAAAGGTAACATTGAGCACTTAACTTTCATTACTTCACAACTCATTATCTCATAATCCTCACAACTCCATGAATTCATATGACAGTTATCAGTATTTATCAGGCAAAGGAACTGCAGTGAGTGAAATAAACACTAAGCCCAAGGTCACATATTTTTTAAGTGACAAAGCTGGGATTTGAGCCCTCTTAGGAAGGAACTCTAAATCTCATTTTGAGAAAACAATCTATTTGTATAATAGAGGATAAAATAATTTTTTATTTTTTTTCATTTTCCTCTTAGGAAGATCAGCCGATAATTATTAAAAGGAAAAGAGGAAGACCTCGCAAATACCCTGCAGAAACAGCATTAAAAATAAGTAGGTGTTTGGTGTGTTTTCAGTTCCACACACAAGAAATTTTGAAACTGATTTTCTAAGTGAGATTTTTTTTTTTTTTTTTTTTAGAAGAAGATGACTCCAAAACAGATACTGGCATTGTCACTGTAAGTAATTGCAAAAGATGACAACTCGAAATATTTGCTCTTGATCTGGAAAGGATATACTACACTATCTAGCATTTTGAACTACATTATTTTTAAGTATTTGTAAAGCTTTAAAAGTCTTTCTTAAGTAAAACATTGAGTAATCATTCAAATATTTTGATTAATAGTATCTTCATATAAACAGAATTATATTAGTTGTTCAGTCTCATTCCATCCTCACTTATGAGTTTGATTATTTAAAAATTATCTAGGGACTTACCTTCTTGTGGTCACCCTTGGTTAAAATATAGAAATTAGCTGTTTTATGTGATTTGGAGGACAGCAGCTTGTTTATGAAGACCCCTGAGGTGTCTTGCCATCTTAATACTTTTTCTATGGAATTCTTTTTGTACTAAAATATACACTGATTTCAGTGCAGGAAAATCCTCAGTGATATTTTATCCTTTTGAACATTCTTTATCTTTGACCCCGAAGTATATGCCCATTGAAATCATTGTATCAAGATTTCATTGGCATGCATTTCAGTGACAGCATTATAAGGAGGACAGAGTTATGTCCACTGACCTTACAAAAGCACGTGGGATTCAAGCCTCAGCTTTGCCACTTACTAGCGAGACCTGTGTGTTGGGGCCAGTCATGTGACCCTGGACCCTGGGGAGACTCAGTTTCTTTGGTATAATGATACCTTTGTACTTATTTCATAGAATTATTACAAGACAACAAAACTGGAGAACTACATGTGAACTACATGTCAACGCATTTCCCAGCATGTAAAGTGGTTTGCGTTAAGGAGCATTAATAACAACATGGCCACACTGCATTGCCTCTAGTGCTTACTCTCCAGCGCCCAGGAGGGTGGTTGGGCAAGAGGCCTGTTGGAAAGACTGTATTCAGAAGCATAAGCATCCACATTTGCTAGGTACACTTAATGAACTACAGAAAATAGATCCCAAATAATTCTGCCTCCCTAAAATAGAGATCCCAAAACTACTTTATATTATTGATTGCATTTCTATGTGATGATAATAAACTGCCAATTTCGATTTTTTATTTGTTTGTTTAAACTTAGGTAGAACAATCTCCACCTAGTAGCAAACTGAAAATAATGCAAACAGGTATGTCCCTACAGCATTCTTCAGTGTATGAGCTGAGGAAGGGGCTGGGGAGGCTGGCTGTTGGAGAAGGTTTTAGACGTTGTTCTGTTTCTCATTGAAATGGGTGGCCTCCTTGGTAAAAACTGTTGTCTTTGCAACCATGAGAGACTATACTTATTGGTTCACAGAGCCCAGGACTCAAGAGGTGCAATTGTTTTGAGTATTTTTATCTTCATTCCCAGGGGAAAAAAATTCCAAAATGTTGATAATAATTAGCTCTGGATGGTAGAATAACGGGAGCATTCCAGATTATTTATTACTGTTGTATGCATTTTCCAGATTTTTTACCATGTATGTATATTAATTTCACCATTTAAAATGTTTTACATAAAAGCAAGAAGAGCCACTAGTGAGTTTTAAAGGATTGATATAAGCCAAAAAGATGAATGGAACACCTGTTTTGTATTAAATAAATAGCATGGTTAGATTAGGAAAGTACATATTCTCATCAGCAAGATAAAGCAAATATATGATTTTTTCTACATTACCTGAGTGTAATATTGTGATCATACATCAGTTTTTCTTGTCTCTTGGCAAATTAAGGTTTGTTTTATTTTAAAAAGTGAGAGGAAATTCTGCATGTGAGGTTGTTAACTAGATTTTATTGATAATTATATGATTTTTTAAAGACTATACAACAAGAAATCTTTATAACTTCAGTGCCCTTTAAAGACTCCAATTTAATCTGTGTGATTATCTTTTGGGGTCAGTATTTGACAGTAGTTTTCTAAATGTGAGTAATGATGACCAGGCTTCTTTGTCAGCCTATTGGGTTAACTTTTCCGTCTTCATTAGTATATTGAACTTGCAGAAAAAAGCAGCTACTACAGTCTTCATCACTAATAAGAAGTACCTTTGAGTTTTTTAGTATCTAATAAACATTCTCATAATATTAGCTTCAAATAGTACATTGAACTAATCTTTATTTTTCTTACCAAGATATATTTTGAGAAAGTTATAACATCTACAGAAAGCAAATACATAAAGAATACGATACACAATCTACAAGCAGGCTTATAATATGTACTTTTTTAGTAGCCATGATTTATGTGTTTGGAGTCAAAAGAATTCCGACTATCACTGTACTTGTTAGTAATGTGACTCTGAACAAATTATGTAAATCAAGTTAATCCTGAGTTTTCCAAACTATGAACTGAGATTGTAATACTTAATACAGCTACAACGAGCTTTAAAAGTACAGGTCGAGTGTCCCTTATCCAAAATGCTTGGGACTGGAAGTATTTCGGATTTCAGGTTTTTTCAGATTTTGGAATATTTGCATTTACCAGTTTAGCATCCCTAATCCAAAAATCGGATGAGCATTTCCTTTGAGTGTTAAATCAGCACTCAGACAGCTTTGAATTTTAGGGCATTCTGGATTTCTGATTTTTGGATTAGGGATGCTCAACCTGTGTATCTTCCTGACTTGCAGTTAACCGGTGTGTCTCGTGGGCTCCCTCCACCACCTTTCCTCCGCCCTTCCTGGGATGAGAACATTTAAACTGAAAAGACCATAAAGGTGGTCTAACTCAACTCCTTATCTTACAAATGAAAAAACTCAGGGAGTTTAAATAATTTGCCCAGATCACAAAGCTTATTTGTTGCAAGTCTGAAATGAAAACTTCTATTTCTGACTTGTATTCTGATGTGCCCTCTGCTAGGTATTCTGATTCCATCTTTGCTTGACTGATAGAAAATAATGGTAAATTGTATAACAAAGCATTAATTAGCACTGGTACATTGACAGACAAGCCAGACTGTTAAAATTTAATTTTATAGTAATAAAGTATGAATACGATTTCCCTTTTTCTTAAAGATGAGTCCAATAAAGAGACAGCTAACCTGCAAGAAAGAAGTATAAGCAATGTAAGTGTTACTTTTCTTATCGAGGTTTGTCCTTGAGAAATAAACTTAATAAATGCTCAGTTGTCCACCCTTTCAACTTTAATTTTATTGTTTCTAGGATGATGGTGAAGAAAAAATAGTAGCAAGTATACGTCGGAGAGGGAGAAAGCCTAAACGTTCACTCACTCTATCAGATGATGCTGGTATGTTTCTAGCAGATTTTTAATTACAGAGTCTTATTATTGCAAAAATCACCTTTTTAAGAGTTTTTCTTTGGATGAGGAAAAATCCAGTGGAATACGCTAGTATTAATATTACATAAATATGTGTGAAATAGCTCTAATCCTGTGTCAGAAATGGTACATCCCAGATGCTTTTCTGAGTACATGTGAATTTTTCATGAATGCTGGCTGTGAACTGCCTAAGTAAACTATCCCAAATGTGTTTGAGATTAAGTTAAACAGTTGTGAATTGCAAGTGCTGAAACAAAAAGGAAGTGGAAAACCACTTCTCTGCCTCCAAGTCCCTAATATCCTAAGTTCCAAACTCCATGACTCCTTTGGAGTGTCTTTGGGAATTGTATAATCCAGGTGTTACCCTTCTATTTGAACAGAATCCTCAGAACCAGAAAGAAAACGCCAGAAATCAGTATCTGAAGCAGCTGAGGACAAGAAAGACCAGGAGTCCGATGAGGAAGAGGAAGAAGAGGAAGAGGATGAGCCCTCCGGAGCCACCACGAGATCCACCACCAGATCAGAGGCTCAGAGGTAATGGGGCCACACAGGGCCGCTGAAGACCTTCACCAGCTTCTCCATCGGAAAAGAGGCTTTGGGCTTCATGGGATTCTCTTTGAACTGAATTGCTCATGCCACATGGAAAGTTCTTCCCTTTGGTTTTATCTTCAATAGAGGCCACATGTTCTTAGCCCTCTGCCATTCTGATTCTTCTTGGAGAACCCATTTTCTGTCTCAAATCATTTTGGGGGATCAGTTCAGAGTCTTTACCAGGTTCTAAATGACTGTGTGGTAGACCCCATTCAATTCTTTTACACATATTTTTTGAGCATCTGTTATGTCTCAGACATTGCGTTGAGCACTGTGAGTGAATACAGAGCTACACAAAACACAGTCCCTGCTCTCAGCATGCTTCACTCCAGTGAGCGGGAGAAACCAGGCCACACACGACTGTCGTCACATGCATCTCACCAGTGATATGTGATAGGTTGATCAGAGGAAATTGCCCAGATTTGACTATTTTGATTTACATAATTTCTTATACTTTCCCAAGCATATTCTCTCAAACCCTAGTAGAGCCAGAAGCCTCTGGGGAAAAGAGTACCATGTCAAATGAGCTTGGGAATGCCAGTGAATCCCCCTTCTTGTCTGTCACAATGTTCATTAAAATTATTAAGGGTTTGGCAAAGTCCAAAAGGAAAGAAACCTATTTAACTCTATTTAAGCGGGCATTATCTACTTACCGTACCCCCTTTCCTGTCATCAGCCTGTGTCATTACACCTGTTAACATATCCAGTGTTCCTTTCCCAATAGCACATTTTGAGAAATGCTACATAAACATGTAGTGTCGTCCTAATGGTTAATAACTTTTTCCAAAGTGAGAATAGTTTCCATTTTTAATGTGATCTACAAGTTGTTAATCTTGATATCACCTTATATAATTTCATTATCAAAGATTAATCAAAAAAGTTCAGGAACATTTCAAAAGTACCACTTATTAACACTATAACATAAAAATGATGTTTTATATTTACATAAAGACTTAAAGTCAACAAATTTCTAATTCCTCCAGACTTACACATTATTAGGCATTCATGCCATGGTTTGATTTCTCAAAGACTCCAGGAGATCACAGGCTAAAGGTAAGGTAGTCTCATATTTGTTTATGTGTGGCAGCTCAGATAAGTAGAAGTCACAGAATTAAGATAGGGAGTCTAGGGGTGCTGGGGCCCAGCACCCCTGCATTTGGTACAGCACATTCCACCAGTACCACCACCTCCCTCCTAAACAGTTGTGGGAAGATCGTCCAGTACAGTGGGGCTCAACTCAGAAAGTTCCATAGGCCTTCTAGCTATCTTCAAGTGAGTGTCTAGAAATAGCTCTCAGCTTTGCCTTTTAAAAATTCATTAAAAATGAATCCTGTTTGATTTATATAGTGCTATAATCACCTGGATTATTGATGCTCTTCCTTAATAGTACTTTAGGAACATTTGATTTACAAATGTATTCTCTTCTCTTTAGTTTAGACTCCTAGACTCCTTGACATTGATTAATTGGTCTCAGGGTTCTGGTGTCTTCATTATTTTACAGATTCTCTGGGTTGGATGGGCTCTCAGTGGTCATCTAGTGCTCCTAGCCAGCCCATCAATGCTCAAATCACTGTACCAACAGCTCCTCTGAAATGATCTTCTTGCTTTTGCATGTACCTCCATGACAGGGAAAAACCACCTTTGCCTTGGCATCCTCTTCCTTATGTTCAGTAGAAGCTGGCCTCCCTGTAGCTTCTACTCTTGGTTCTAGTTCTACTTTTGGGGCCTTCTGTATACTTTTCCCTTAAATATCTGAGACCAGCTTCTAGGTCTCTTGCTTTGAGCCTCCTCATCATCCCTGTTTGTTCTCCTCAGTTTATCTATATCCTCTTTAAGAAGTGGGTATTCTATACCAAGTGTGGGCTATTAATTCCAGAAGAGGGTTGTCCCACCTTATTTTCTGGATACTGTTCTTCAAAATGTATCCACATCACTGAATTGCCTCAAATTGAGCCATACACCAGCTAAATAAGTCCTTTTTAAAAAGATATTTTACTGGTAAGTCAGATCTTTCCTTATCTTGCTCTTGTGCAGTTGACTATTTGGGCCTTAACATTTAGCTCAGTGTCATGAGTTGTACTTTCATTACTCTTGGCCCCTTATCCTACTCTGTGGAGCCTTTTTAGGATCTTTATTTTGTTAGCCAATATATTTTCTATTTTTCACAGATTCCTCTTCTTCTAAATCATGATAAAATACCATGCAAAGTAAGAGCAAGGATAGAGTCATGCAAGCAGAGTTAGTCATGGGTGACATTAAGATCTACTTATTAGCAATGGTCAAGAAAGAAAACCATTATCCTGCTTTTAGTCCCCATTGTTCTGACTTCCCCATGAGGAATCTCATCCTTTCTAAATAGTCCCAGGGACTGGAGGATTCAGTGCTACCATTGTCCAGTTTTTCTATAATCTGTTTCAGAAAGCATCATAGCAAGCCATCTGCACGTGCAACATCCAAACTTGGCAGCCCAGAAACAGTTTCTCCTAGAAATCGCCAAAAATTAGCAAAAGAGAAGTTACCTACCAGCGAAAAAGTTAGTAAATCTCCCCCATTAGGAAGGTAAGTCCCTGCTTACACTTCAAGTCATTTTAACTCCCTCAGACTAATTTTGGTACAGTAATGCTTTCTTCCTAATTTCCTTTAAGATTTCTTTCTCACCAAATAACTGTCTTTGGGGATCATCGGTTTCCAAGACGAATAGGAAGGGCTGCAGAAGATGTCTCTGTGGCCCCGCCAGTCTGGCCTTGCCGCAGGGACCTGCCACACAGGCTTGTCCTTGACACCTGTGGGCCTTATCTGCTGACTCCCATCCACCAAAACCAAAGGCAAGGCAGTGTGGTAAAGCCTTTAACAGCCCGGAATCCTCTGTTACAGCCAGGGCATTGGAGAGGTGCTGAGGTAGCAAAGGAAAGCACAGCCCCCACCAGCTCGCACCTGCCACTGCAGTCTGACTCGTCTTCCTGCTTGCCACTGGTGGTGCTGAGTCTTCCGTCCTTGCCTTTGCTTGTGCTAGTGAGGAGCGCCCTTGCCACCAGCCCCCCAGTAAGCCAGGCCCTTCCCATCCTTCAAGCCCCCCTTCTTCAGGACACCTTCCCCACCTGCTTCAGCCCCTTCTCATCTTTCCTTCCTGCTGCACTTTCAGCAGTCAAGATGCCACGTTCTGTTGGTTTCTGTATATTAGTTTTGTCTTTCCCTCAGAGCTGAAAGCTACTTCCTTGAGATTAGAAACTTGTCTTACTTTCTGTACACTATAGCATTCAAAAATAAAATACTCTTCACTATATACAAAAACTGTTTTGACATCTCTTATCACATTTTGATCTTCACAGCGTATTTTTAATGTATATATGCACTGTTATCCCCATGTTATAGAAAGGAAAGCAAACTATCCTCACTAAGTGCAATGTAGCATTTATCCTTATTTTGTATGTGAGGGGAAGAATCTCAGGAAGGATGCGTACTTCTCAAAATCAGATGTGCAGACCAATCACTTGAGACTCTTGTTAAAATGCAGATTCTGAGTCTGTAGGTCTAGGGTGGAGCCTGAGAGTCTGCATTTCCAACAAGCTCCCAGGTGACTTACAACAGCGCTGGTCAGACCACACCCTGGGTGAAATGGAAGGGCCTAGACAACCTACCAAGCTCACACAGCTAGGAAGAAGCAGTCTGACTCAAAAGCTTTTGCTCCTGCCACATGGCTTCCAGCACGATGCTATACACAGCAACTAGTCAGTGAAAAGGTGTTCACTGAGTGGCTGATGGCTTTCCGTGGACACAGTTTGAAATGGATTATTAACAAACACTGCTTTTAAGCCATTGTCAACACATGCAACAAGATAACATGCCAAAACCATATCATCTGCAACAATCTTTGACTCAATTTGAGTTTATTTACTTATGCTGTCAAAGGAACAATAAACAAAAGATGTCAGCATATCAATAAAGTCCCATTTCTCCATCTCCTGCAATTTCAGTTTTGTAAGTCTTTTAATTCATTGATATGACATTTACATTTACTGCTTGCTTGCTATGTGTTGGGCATTTTATTAAGCACTGGAGTTAGAAAAATGAATAAATTTCAGCAGCTGTCCTAGAAACGTCTTGTCTAATAGGAGAGATATATGTGTATAAGACTTTCAGACTTTTTCGACAGCAACTCAAGTAAGAATATATTTTGCAATACAACTAGCACTATTCACATTCCTGCTGCTATAACTGAAAGAAAAAATTCCGTGAGTGAAACTTAATAGATGTGATACCAGTGGTATTTTCTATTGTGTTCTATTAATATGATGTTTTAAAATAACTACCTGTAATCTGCAGTTTGAAAAAACACAATGGATAAATTACAGCGGTAAGTGTTGTAAAGATCCAAAGTGCCATGGGGTTTCCAAAGAAGCAGCAGCTTCCTCTTTGATGTGGAACGTTTCCCAGAGAAGTGACTTGTGAATTGGGGAGTGTTTCTTATTTTTAGAAACAAGGAAGTTGATCAGATGGGTGGTGTAGGGTAATTAAAAAAAAAAAAAAAATCACATGCCAAATCATGAAGATGTAAAAAGCCATTATACGTTTGGGAATGGAAAGACTTTGGCAGGACTGTAGTTGTGTGCTATGCTCTGGATGGCTTTATCCTGATAGTGTCAGAGACCCAAGAGGGACTTTGTATATCTCCAGAGCAAGGAACAAGATTAGAATTTCCAGCAAATAATTCTAATTGCAGACTGGGGAACAGGGATAGGCTGGTGACAGGAAGATTGGTTAGAATGCTCTTCTAAAATTTCTGTGCCTTTTCTAACATTGTCAGCTGTTTTCTGTAATACTGTAATGTGAAACATGACTTTGGACTTGATCAGACCTAGGTTGCAATCCTGCTGTGTTCTTGCTAGTTGTTTGAACTTGGAACAGTTTCTGTATTGGTAGGACTAGCCGTTCATTTCTTTGTTTTGTAGGGTGAAAGACTAGGGCCCAGAGAAGGAGGTTGACTTGATCAAGGTCAAGACCTAGAGTGTGATAGAGCTGGGACCAGAACACGGGCTTCCCACGTCCTTCTTCAGCACCTGTGTTTGTGTGTGAGGTTGCCAGCAAATAGTTAGCTCGAGCTCTTCAGTAGCTCCTTTTCACATATAAATGTTACTGGGACTTTCTCTTCTTAGCTGAAAAGTTCAAAACTCTTCCGTTTTTTAAGGAACTCCCAAATTGTTTGAAGCAGCTGCGTTTTTAATTGTCACCTTTGGCTTGACTTTTGTTTAATGCAGATCAAAGACACAGCTCTCCCCTTCTACCAAGCGCAAGAGAGAAGTCAGCCCTCCTGGGGCCCGGACAAGAGGCCAGCAGAGGGTGGAGGAAGCCCCTGTGAAAAAGGCGAAGCGATAATCCTTACCCCGGTGCCCCTGGCTTGTTGAGGAACACAGTGGAGAGAAAAGGGACGAGCCTCTGTGGCCATAGGCTTCTTTTTTTTTTTTTTAACCAGAAAAAGGATATGCATGTGCTGTCAGTTCCTAGGTGCAAGCTTTTTCTTGTTATGTTTTAAACAGCTTTATAAACTATTGTTCATAGAAGATACTATGTACATTTATTTCAGATAAAGGAAAATAAGTTTACTTTGTATCTGAACTCAAAACAAAGTAGTTGTATATTTTAACATTTGAAATTGGGATTTCCCAATGTGACACATCATTAATGCAAATCTTTCCAACTCATCAGACACCAGGCTGCCTACTGGTAATCTGTGTATAGTATATAAACGTGTAAAAATAGGTTGTATTTTACTCTATGTATGATGCTAATCAATGAACACTTTATTTATTTTACAGAGAAAACTTATCTGTGAACTTTACTATATATCTGTTTATTTTATTTTATTATTTTTTTTTTAATAAAAAAAGGTTTTAAATGCTATGCAGTCATTAGTAGAAAGGTTTTTAGGACTCTGCCTGCCCTGTAACTATCCGAATATGATCTGGCAGAAACTCTCGCATGTATTCAAGTAAAGTAGTTTAGCTAAAGAAAGGTTCTCCATTGCTTTTCTGTTCACAGTTGTGACTGTTTTTAAGAATGTAACCTGTTTTTAGATTATACTTGCATATGTAACTTTACTACCAGCCCCGCTGACGTGAGAGGTTCTGGTTCAGGTAAAGTTACATCCGGTCACCTGCAGCAGAAACCCCTCTGTTGATGTTCATTCCTCTCCTCTGTGCAATTCTGAAGCTTCTACCAATATTCTTTCCATATTGTCTTTTTCAGTGAAGAGAAATGCATTGAAGATTAGGTTAGTCCCGTCTATCCAGTTTCAGGATTTTATGTTGTTTTTATACACAGTTATTTCAGGATAGAAACTGGCTTTATTGCCAGGTGTTTTTTTAAACATGTTTTAACTCCCATATGAGCAAACTGTCCAACTTAAGTTTTTCATAAGATTAAACTTTTCTTAAGATCAAATTTGTCTCTTGCAATGATGTGATAAGTTGCCAAATAATTGAGATTATTTTAAAATGTTTTGTTCATATTCTTGTTTTATAATTAAAATTTACATTCAGTGTGTGTGGGATTTTTTTTTTTGACTCTTAATGTAAGGTGGATATTTCTGTCATTTTACATGGTTTCTTACTGAGATTTTATATATAAATTATAAAATGTTTCCCAAAACTTGAGTGGTAAGAATTTTTTTTCCGTGTTTTAAAATTTCTTCACATGAAAATCATTTCTTCTCTCTGTATAATTGGTCTTAGATATATTGTACCATTTTAAAAGTCAAATATGAGTCAGTGATGGCCTCTCTCAGTAGAACGGAACTTTGGATCCAGAAAGGACCTTAGTAACCAGGAACATGAGAGTTTATCATTTTTATTTATATGGATGAGTTTTAACCAAAGCTCAAAAATCTAAAGTGATTTGTCTAAAGGTCAGTCAAAGGCAGAAGCTGGACGAGGTTACAGGGCTCCCAGTTCCTTGAGTCACAGTCTTTGCACTGGTCGGTTTTCGATTGGTTCACCAGAAATGCATACCTGAAAACACACGCTCAGTGTGAAACCAGCGTTACTCAGTTTAGTAGCAGCTACTGTGGGCATGACCCTATAGGGACTGAGTAGTTGAGGTGTGAAGAAATACTGACTCTTAATAAAATTGGAACTAAATAGTGGAACTGCATAAAGAATTTTCTGGTGGGGAAATCAGCTGGACCCCTTAGTAACTTCCAGTGGTTCTGAAACTTAGGCAGAAAGAAGATACCACCCCGGAGGTGGTATTGGAAATAGGTGGGAGCAATTCTTGGTCATCACAATGAGTTGGTATTATTGGTATTTAGTAGAAGGAAGGAGGTCAGGAATGTGAAATGTCCTACTATTCACAGGACAGTCCACATCTCCAAAAAAAAATGTCCAGCCAAAATGCCAGTAGCTTCCACTAACCCACTGAGAAGCACGTGCAGACCATCTCCAAATTTGACATTTGCCTACTGCTGCCACCGCCTCAGTGCTTCTCCATGAGCTGCCTGAACAAAGCCCATCTGCTCTCCCCATCCCGGACCTGAGACGGGGCTGGGACAATCAAATAAGACTTAGTGAAGGTAGCAAAGCGTCCCGTGGCTGGGGGCAATGTGGTCCACAATGATGGTTAACTCATCAGTCAAAGAAGTCCACACCAACAGTCCTTCCCTCCCTACTCCAGGCTCCTCACGGTTATACCACTTGACTCTTACCCCCTTGCCTTAAATATTAATACCAAAACCTATTAAGGCTTGCCATCAACAGACCAATTAGGAATGGCCATCTGGTAACACTCCTCTTCCCAATGAGATCTCATGGCAAGTTGGTGGCAAAGTTGAGATTGAGCTATTGTCTTCTGACCCCTGAGCCAGGGTTCTTTCTACTAAAACCTGTGGGAGGGAGGCATTGATCTACCTTAGCAGCAAGCTCACTGCCCTTAGGACCATAATATAGTGGAACTTCGCTCCAAACATTTCTGTGACTGATAAAACCTAACTGGAGGTTGAGGGAGATGAGTCTAACTGGAAGAAATGCTGGAAAAGGTTTCCTTTCTTATTTTTTGTTTTGTTTCGATTTTTATTTATTGTTCATCCTATGTGCAAGAGCACCTTACATTTCCTAAAATTACTGCTTAGCCATCTTTGTATGATTAAATCTAGAACAACATGCTCTTCATAATACACTGACGCTTTTCTCAGGAGAAGAAAATAGTTTAATAGCCAGTATTTTTCCCACTGAATCTGCTGTGCTGAAAAAATACACATTTGTTGAGCTACTACTTATACCCAACACTAGCGACAAAAATGTGAACCCAAGTCTCGGACAACCACATGCAGCAAACAGCTGGGCTGCACCGAGGAGATTGGTGTCTGGTGGCAGAACACAGCACAGGGGAGAAATGACTTTCCTGAGACAAGCAGTTCAGAGGACTAACTCCTGGCAGACAAGGGGAGGAGTTTATTTTTAAAAGTATAAAATGGAGCTTCAAGGAAGGTTGGAACCTAGAGCACATTTTGGAAACCAAGGCACAGGGATGACTGGAGACGCTAACGGGCCATTTTTACCACCAGGCAATCTTTCAGAAACTTCCAGGGAAGAGACCTTTACAGACATTAGTAGCTTATCGATACATCTCTGTGTTACACAAAACTGCTAAGCTAGTTCCAACAGGTGCTTCCTCACACTACAGCCGTCCTGGAAATTAACAAATTGTGAGAGGAATCTGGTTAACTTAGTTTACCCAGAATTTTCCAAGGTTTTAAACCTTAGAATACCTGTTTCCTCCCCAACACACACACACATACACACACACACACACACACACACACACACGCAGAAGCTTAACATCCATGAAAACTGATGTTGCTCAGGAGTTTTATAAGAGCCTGCAAAAGAGTATCATACCCCCCATTTTATAGTCGGGAGAACTAAACCTCAGGTGGTTATAGAGCTTGCTTAAGACTAAACACATGTATCAAGCATGCGTAGGACTGGCACCAAGAGTCTCACTGAGCATTCCCTCCACTTCACCTTGCCACTGTCTACAGTGGATATAAGTGTGCTACAGTTTTAGTTGTATAAAATTAAAAATTAACAGTAAACAAAGAGGAAAAAAATCACTTGTAGTCCCATAAGTCAGATATTGTCACTGTTAACAATTGGATATGTGATTCTTCCAAGCTTTTTTCTGTTTACATATATTCAAAACCCACGTACTAAAATTCATCAGATCTAAGATGCTATTGGCTATAAAATGCACCATTACTTTATATACTGCTAGGAAAGAAAAAACCATAACACAAAAATTAAGGATAGTCTCAGTGCTATGCATGAATCGGTCATATCAGCTTGTTGCTTTGAAATGTGTTTCCTTAATTACAAGGGATTTGGTGATTTCTCCACTGTTAGCTGTGTAACTTGTCATGCATTAGGCGGTCCTTTGCACATATCTCAGGAACAAAATGTAACAGCATCACCTACATGTAGACATCTTCCTTTCTTAAGTCTCAGAAAGCACTTGGTTGTTGCTTTGTGAGAAAATGTAGAATCAAGATTATTTCTCCAACACTGAATATTGGCCTTGCTGATATAGAATGTATTTCTTGCTCCCTGATTTCTGTGGCTTTCTGAGTACACAGTAACAATTTTGATGCCAAATCACAAGGTAAATTTTTTTTTTTTTTTTTGAGACAAAGTCTCACTCTGTTGCCCGGGCTAGAGTGCCGTGGCGTCATCCTAGCTCACAGCATCCTTCTGCCTCAGCCTCCCAAGTAGCTGGGACTACAGGCATGCGCCACCATGCCCGGCTAATTTTTTCTATATACTTTTAGTTGTCCGATTAATTTCTTTCTATTTTTAGTAGAGACGGGGTCTCGCTCTTGCTCAGGCTGGTCTTGAACTCCTGAGCTCGAACAATCCGCCCACCTCGGCCTCCCAGAGTGCTAGGATTACAGGTGTGAGCCACCGCGCCCGGCCACAAGGCAATCTTTTAAAAGGCATTTTAATTGGCATTTAAAATCAAAGTGTATAGATCCAATGATGCACATAATTCAATTGAAGTGACAATATGAATAGTTATGAACAAGTTCACGCATGACAATGAACTGTATCATAACTGCCACTTGTTCAGCAACAATTTTAAGATGCCTCTCAATTTCAGAGCCCTTAAAATGTGGTGGGGGGAGTGTGCCTTTGAATTAATATGTAGTTTTTTTTACAAAAATGAGATTTTACATATCTACCTTTTAGTCACCCTTAAAAAATATGCCCATCCACTGTCCGAATGGTACCACTCTCCTTCCCCCTAGGTTACCACCATTCTAAAGACACGTTTATCATTTTCTTGCTGTCTGTCAGTTTTACTACGTATATCTGTATCTCTAAATGATATTTTAAGCGTTGACTTTTTTTGCTTTATATAAATAGAACCATTTTATGGATCATTTGAGATTTGCTTTTTTCTGCATTACGTTTTGAAATTCATCTATGTTACTATGTGTAGCTCCAGTTAGATTCATTTTCACTACCGTATACTACTGAAGGAATATATCACAATATACTAAGCCATTCACCTCTTCCTGGCCTTTGGTTTATTCCCAGGTGAAACAATACTACGAATATTTTTGTGACGTTTCTCTAGGGCAGAGCTTTTCACACTTAACTGATTTTATTGTTCATATACAAAATGATATTTGTAGGCATATCGAGGTAAGTGGAAGGGCAAGGCTGATTTCTGCCTGAGGAGACC